TCCAGCACTCTCACATAAGGCATCAGTTATAGGGCCTAAAGCAGATCCTAATGCACTAATAAAATCTGGTTTGATGAAGAGTACAAAAAGGTGATCTCCTTATACTTCTGCTTATTTTATACTTCTGGTACGGAGGCGACTTTTAGTGTGCTGACTCATGCTTAATTTGATTTTACATTGACACAGAATGACACTTGCAAATTCTCCACACCAGTGCCCTTGGGCCTATCATGGGGAGGGGGGAGGGGGGAGGGATGGCATTGGGAGTTATACCTGATGTAAATGACGAGTTGATGGGTGCTGACGAGTTGATGGGTGCAGCACACCAACATGGCACAAGTATACATATGTAACAAACCTGCACGTTATGCACATGTACCCTAGAACTTAAAGTATAATAATACTAATAAAAAAAAAAAAAGCAAAAATACTTTAAAAAACTGTGTCCAAAGAGGGATAGAAGATGGAACTCTGCATTTATTAATTTTTTTTTTTTTTTGCTACTTTAAGTTTAAATTCAGCCAGAATCTGATCAAAATATAACTAGTCCATAGCCATGGTGAATTCATATTCCCTAGTAAAGTGTATGCTTTCATTATTTGATTATGAGATTTTTATTAGACTTTCAAAACATCAAACGTAACTTAATTAAGACAAACAGAAATGAAGAACATTGTACAACATACCTAACCATTAGACTTCCAAACTGTTTAGGTCACGAAAAACAAAGTGTCACATATCAGAGGAGACTAAGGAGACAGAACAACTACATGCAACTTGGTATCCTGTGTTAGATCTTGAAACAGAACAGGACGAGAAAAATCTGGCAAAATCTGAGCAGAATCTTTAGTTAATAGTATTTGACCAATATTAGTACATTCGTTTTGAAAACTTACCATTGCTATATATGATGCTAATATTAGAGGAAGCTGTATAGAGCATACAGGAACTCCACCATTTTGACAACTGTTTATAAACCTAAACTTATTACAAGATAAAAAATAATAATAACTTAAGGACCTCAACTTGGTAAATGGTTTACTACATAGAATCTATAAAAATCAGTCTTATCTCTGCATGGTTGCCTTTCTTAATGTAATAGTAAGGAGATAAGACATTGTCAAAATTATTAAATCTATTTCCTCCTTATTATCTATTAGGTTTATTTTAAAACAATATTGAGTGCCTAAATAGAAATACTTATGCCTTCTGGCTCACGTTTAGGTCACTGTTTAATAGAAAATATGGTAACATCAGATGGGAAATTACAGTCAGCGAGTATGTGTATTTACATATTTCCACAAATATTGTAAGGTTTCATTTAACATTAAGATTGTTCCCAAGCTATGAGTAACAAGTGACAGAGAGTACAGGGCAAAGCATTGCTCTGTACAAAAAGACAACAACTATATTACTAGGGATTTGAGTCTCAATTTTACTTCTCAATTAAGACTCCAAATCCATTAATGAATAGCTAAAAGATCAAATATTGATCATCTCTATACATCCCACTTTGCAGATAATATTCTTTTTCTGTTAGCAGTCTCTCAAATCGTAGATTCATGTAACTGTTTTTTACCTCCCCAATATTATTACTCTGACAACTACCACAACCAGCACTATCCTACCATCAATGCTAGTTTTAAAAAAAGATATCTGAAAGTATCTTAGTCACTTCCAGCTTCTGTAACAGAATATCATATACATGGTGGCTTGAACCACAGAAATCTATTTTTTTTTCACAGTTCTGGAGGTTGCAAGTTTGAGATGAGGGTACCAGCCCTGTTGGGTTCTGGTGAAGGATTTTTTCCTGGCTTGCACATGGCCATATTCTCACTGTGCGTTCACGTGACCTCTTCTGAGTAAGAAGAGAAAGAGAAAGCAAGTTCTCTCCTGTGTCTTCTTGTAAGAGCACTAATCCCATTATCAAAGCCCAACCTTCATGACCATCTAACCCTACTTACTTCCCAAAGTCCCCATCTCCAGATACTAGCACCTTGGGAGTTAGGGCATCAGTAGATGAATTCTGTGGGGACGCAGTTCAGTCATGGCAGTATCAGAAACCCAAGAGTTTCAGGTAAGAGTTTGTGGATTACTTTTCAAATTTACATGCTAGATGCTTTCTTCAGGCTATGTCTTGTAATGCTCAAAGAGCATCTTCATGAGGTATATTGATCTTAATTTAACTTCTGCAAGTGAAGTTGTTTAATGAATAGCAGAAACTGCACTAAAAATTAAATTTTTGTGACTAAAAAACTATGTTTTTTGATATTACAATATAATATCCTACATTCTAATACAAAGGTATGAATTGTACTAAAGACTGAGTGAAATGATTTATCCTGCCCCAAAATTATTTCATGCTATATGGTGAAGAGGGCAATTTTAGGAAAACCAAATTTGATGCCAATTTTTTGTTCCTTTCTTTTCAGTCGTATATTAGTGAATGTCAATATAAAGAGTTATATTGCTTAACAAATATTCCAAACTACTGTGAAATATAGCAGGAACTCATATGTGTATTCAATGGAATAAATGGTTTTATTGATATTATATAAAACATAATTCTCATAATTATGAAAATCATTTGAAATCTTTAAAACTATGTTGATGCAAGCAATAATTTTTACAGTATATGTAAATACCAACAGTGGTTATAGGTGTGCTGAACAAGGTCTGTTGCTAAGAGCATTTTATCCATTTTGTATTAAAATACCCTGTGTATATTGACTACCTGTTATGCACTGCGGCATGAGCTTTATATACTTAATTTTTTAACACTTAACACTTAATTGTCTTCAAGCTAATTTAAGGACACAAGCTCAGAGAGATAAATGCCCTGCCCAAAGTTATGTGGCTCCAGCAAGGGGCTGAGCTGGAATTCCAAGTCCAATATTTGTAGTTTCACTATCTGTACTTGGGAGATAATTAATATGCTTTCTATTTTTAAAAAAAATTATATGGTGCTCTAATTTTTCTGGTTGCAAAATATTTACATCTGAATATTCTGAAGCTGAATATTTATTAGAATTGTATATCATTAGGAAAAAAGTATCCCCTCATATGGCTTTGTCTTGTGCAGAAAATTGTATCTACTCTATAAGAAAAAGGAGCTTGAGAAATGGCTGAGCCTTGTGGAGAGTATTCTGTGTATTAGAACATAAGCCCATCTTGGTAAATCCTCCCTCTGTTTCATGAGGTACTCTTCTTTATTAGCTAAGACACTAAGTGATTTGTGTAAGGTTGCACAGCTAGTAAGTGGCATGGCCATAATGTAAACCTGTGTCTGTCTGATTCTAGAGTTCTATTAAGTTTCCACTGTACCAAACTGTCTCTTCTTAGATGTTTGCATTTCCAAAATCTGTTACCACTTGAAATGTAATTACTTCATTTAAGTCCAAAAGCAGAATTCTACAGCACTAAATAAATCTATGTAGAATTAAGTTAATTAAAGCTAAATAAACCATATGCTGATCATATTCTAATCATCTATTTTTTTAAATACATTTCACTCTGGGGGTGAGGATCAGTGAGGGGCCAAATAAGCACATAACTATAATATTATGTGTGAAATACAGGAGATGTATGTAGAAAGAACACCAGGAGCTCTAAAGGAGTAATTTAGTTCATAATTTTCAGGTGCATGGTTAGGAGGCGTTTGATCCAGGCAGAGGAGAGGCATGTTCATGTGTGCAGGAAGTTCAGGATTATCCTGCACATGCTTTTCAAGGCTCCTGAAGAGGATGTAAGAAAGAAAGAGTAAAATCAAAGTATGTGTACGCTTGGTTGTTCTACTTTTATAATGAGAGGCCTTTATGTGATAGTTGCAAGAATGCCTTTTAACATGGAAAAGACTCTTCTAGTGAATAATAAGCAATGCACACTTCAAAGGAATTATATTATCTGGACTATATTTGTAAAAAACAAACAAACAAACAAACATAATGTGACAACTTTGCAATTTAAATGAAGACATAGAAGAGAAATATTGTGATCTAGATTTCAGAAGTTTCCTTCTATCGATTTCCTTATGGGCGTAAAGAAATTATCCACCAGCAAAGAATACACTAAACTTTGAAATTTAAAAGTTGTGGCCAATTTGCATTTTTAGACTCCTTCAGTTATTGGAAAGAAAGATTTATTTTATTACCTTGTCTTCAAACATACCTGTTGAGAGAGTGTGATATGGTGGAAAATAGATAATGAACAATCTACAGATCCAATAGTAATCAGTCCTATAAAATAAAGGCAAGGTTCAGAAATTATGGTTTGTTTTAGTATTATTAGTAGTCTTGCTTTTTTTAAATCAAAGCTTAAGATTCAGACTGTGTGTGTTCAAATCCTGACAGTGGCACAAACTTTATCTTGAAATGAAAGTAATGCCTATTTTATCTTTATCTCATTTCATTATGAGGATTAAATATGTATATAAATTTTAATTTGTTGCACATAAGTATTTTGTAAATACTTCCTATTACAAAAGTTAAAAAGTGTGAGACAGATGTGCTTATAATAAAAATATATTTATTGCTGCTTTCAAAATTATTAATGAACATCTATTTTTAAAAATCTAAAATTCTACAAGATAAATTTTTGAATGTGATTTTTTTCGAAGATAGGAAATTAAATATTATGTAAGTGCTTAACTTAACTTTATTAACCTGCCATTGCACTAGCATGGAAGATGGAGACATTGTCTGTCACTAGAATGGTGATAAGCAATTTATATGATATTGATATCCAGATGATTTTGTTATATTAAAGACTATTAAAACCAGCCAGCACAGTGAAAACCTCAAAACAAAATCTTTTCAGAAAAAATTTTACATGAAATATTGTATTTAAAGAAAACTATAATCTTAATTAAGAACGTGCTTGTCAATCAAAAACAGTTCCTCTGTGAAGTGCACTTAAAAAGTTGATGAATTGAATCAATAAACTCCTGATGTCATAAACTCATGTAAAAATATGAATAATGGGATTCTTTTATTTGCTTTCAGATTTTCAGACGATGCTGGTTGGTTTTCAAGAAGGCTTCTAGCAAAGGACCCAGAAGGTTAGAAAAATTTCCAGATGAAAAGGCAGCTTATTTCAGAAACTTTCATAAGGTAAGTCACAGTCCTGGGAGTCCCTGGGGAATAACTGGGCCCTTGAGGACTTGTGGAGATATTTCTTTGATAGATGAAATCTGAAGTGGCAAAAATTAATGGCTTGGGAAAAATGCCCTTTTTTGATAAAATGCAAATGTTATTTTTCTCCTTTATTTTAATTATCTGTTGTAAATGCCAGTGGTACCTCTGCAAAATCAAAGACCCATTTTTATTGCTACTTTGCAAAATGAGATGACTCATAACTCAACCAAATCATTTTCTAAGGTGCTGAGTAGGTATTTTCTCTCTATTCAGGTTCATTATGCATTTGTTACTTGATATAAACTGTGAACAGTATTTACTAGATAAAATTTAGGGGGCTGCCTTTAACAGTGCTAACGATATTGTTAACATATATGGCATTTGCTGTTTTGTAAACTCCTTAACAAGAAAAGGATCATCGAATATGCCGATGTGTAGAGATAAGACATAAATAGTAGGAATAAAATATCAATTTCCTAAGAATTAAAAAGACTGTAAAGCATAACGCCAAAATGATGCTAAATATATCTTTCATGATAACATCAGAACACAGCTAGGTATTTTATAATGATGCAAAGGATTTGTGATCAAAACTCAGAGTGGTAGAACAGTGTTGCTTACTGGTATAATGCTCGGTAAAGATTTTAATTTCTCATTGGTCATACATAGAGTAAGTTTTCCTTGATAATGTAATGAATTTGTGGAATTTTATTTTATGTAATATATTGTTCTAATTTATTTTTGAAAAATAGATATTTGACAATAACTAGCATTTATTACTATTAGTTATGAATATTAACTAGTAACCATTTAAAATTGGAGTTTGTAAAACTGTCTAGGAACCATTCTCTCTCTCTGTCTATATATATATATAAAAAATATATATATAACACACATATATATAATTTTAAAAATATTTTAAATATAAATAGACATTGGTCTTGCTATGTTGCTGATCTCAAACTCTTGATCTCAAACAATCCTCCTGCCTTGATTTCCCAAAGTGCTGGGATTACAGACATGAGCTACCATACCCTTTGAAGTTATTCCATATATTAATATAGATTTACTGCCAGAGAATACAAGTTAAGGTTTCTGTCCCATCACTTACTAGCTCATGGATGTTTGGTTTTCTCATGAGTAGATGAATTTTAAAATTGTTATATATCTCTAAAGATTATGTGATATATGCTATCATAAAACAGCCAGTATAATACTTCTCAATCTAATTATATGCAATTATTTGAATTCTAAAGTCTTACTGGTATGTTTGTGTTATAACTATGATTATGACTTGGGCAATAATGTTAAGCCTAACTTAATGAGGAACTGCCGGTTGTAAAAATGTGAGCCCATGATATTTAGTTTGTGAGTAAAATTTTGATGGGCTGAGCATATTATATCTTCTTTGAATGCCTGGTCAGAGTTCCTGCCTGCTGGTTAGTGACATACTAGTTGGAACTCTCTAGCCAGTACAGCTTGCTTTATTTTTACTTACAAATGAAACAGGAAAAATTGTCAAGAAGCGTTATCTTATCTCTGGACTCAGCTATCTTTTATTCAAAAAAAATAGACACACTCTAGTACTCTAACCTCACTATAAGGATTGGTAATTTGGACACAGATGGGCATGGAGTATCTGCTCTATGCTAGGCATTCCACTCCTGGTTGGGAATTCAAAGATGCGTGAGACACAGTCTTGCCCTGAAAAAGCTTGCATTCTAGTGGAAAAGACACAAATACACAAGTAACTTCAATTCAACATAGCAGGTACAGATGGAGAAGTATTCACAGATTGCTGAAGAAAGAGTATTTTACCTAATTTGGAACTCAGGTAAAACTTCTCTGCAAAGATGATATTTGAATGGCCAAACCAGTGGTGGTAATGTGTCAGCCAAATGAAGAAAAAGGGTCATCTCTAGGAGGCATGTGAAACAGCCCTTCGTCCTTATTTTATATTCTCTTGTTTTTTGCTACCTTGCCCACTCCTTACCCTACAGAGGCAATCACAGGCACTCCACAGCAGTGCTCAGAGTTACAGAAAATGCTAACTCCTATTTATCTTACAGACGGCCTCATTAAAAATCATTTGGCTTCCACTGTGAGCTGTGAATTTCAAGGCAAACTTCATTCCTTGAGTTATTCTGTGAATTGTCAAAACATGGCCTATCCGTTAGCCTGGTATGGAACTCCAACTCATTATCATCAGACATGTTTATGGAGCCCTTACCATGAATGTGGCACTGGGCCATGCACTGGGGATGCAGTATTGGAAAGATGGTGCTCTAGTCTATCATTGATCTTTACTTCTTAATAACATAAAACAATGTAAATATGTAATAAATGCATCTTTTTTTAAAATAGGATAATATAATACAGAATTAATAGATAGCAGCTATAGATATGAGTAGGCTAAGACTCATCTGAAAAAAAAGAGTCAGTCCTTAAATTCAGTGATATAAAGATAATTCCAAGAAGAAAGAAAAAAAATTAAAAACCATTACCAATAAAAATGAGATAGAAATAATTCAGTGTGATCAAGGATCTGAAAGAGATCGTTGTGACTGGAGTGTAGGAAAAGAGGTCATGAAAACTGAATTAAACTATAAGTGATGAGAGTCAATGACAGGGTTTTAAGCCCGGGTCTGGCATTATAGTCTTAAAATACCACTTTGTGTTTTCATTTCCTGTATACAACAGTGATCCTCTGACAGTATAATTCTCCCACAGATGACATATAGAAACTCTGGATGTCAGGTTCAAGCCCCAGCTGAGGTCCGAGGGGAATGAGTGGTTGGGGTTAGGGAGCTGGAAGAACACTCAAGAAATGACAGGTAGATGACACATGGCTTTATTCAGCAGCTCTCTCACACTGTCTGTCTCATCAGCAGCTTACTTACATTGTCCACGTTTATCTCGGCTGCTTGCTCCAGCTGTGACCTTCTCAGCAGCCTCTGTGGCTCCTGCTGCTCCCACTCACAGCTGCATGGCTGGCTCTCCCTTACAAGGTCAGCAGCGTCACTCTCTCCCTCTCAGCCCAAGCTGGTTTCTGGCTCCATGCTGCCTACCTTCAGACAACTGGCTCTCCCTTACAGAGTCAGCAGCTTCACTGTCTGCCTGGGTACAAGCCCGACCTGTGTCCTGACTCCCCAGTGTTCGACTACAAAACGAACATATTTTGCAAAGACTACTCTGGCTCTCTTTCTTCCTCTGGGCATGCCATATGCACAGTGTCAGCAGGGCAGTTATACCTTTTGCAAACAATAGTGGCTCCGAGCCAGGTGATGAACCTTCTCATGTTATGGCTACATAGCTGTGTTTACATAATGCATGGAATTGTGCGCCTGCACTTCAATCCTGCTGAGTTATGCAGGCTGTTTACCTCGGCCTGTTCTTGACCAAAGCACATCCATTTATCTAACACTGGACAAAATACAAAAACAAACAAGTCCCTGGGTCTCCGAAAAAAGCAAGTCATTTGTGGGGGGATGTCAGGTCTGGAAACAAGTGAATGACAACTTCTCCCTTTCTCTGGGTGCAGCTTTAGGCTGGGGGCAGATGTAGTCATACCAAAGCAATATTGACCATGGCAATGGGATGACTAAAACCAGCAGTTCCCAACAACCAGGGCATGAACCAGTGCTGGTCTGTGGCCAGTTAGAAACCAGGCTGCATAGGAGGAGGTGAGCAGCAGCGGACAAGGGAGCAAAGCTTCATCTGTGTTTATTTACAGCTGTTCCCTGTGGCTGGCATTACTACCTGAGCTCCACCTCCTGTCAGATCAGTGGTGGCATTAGATTTTCATAGGAGCATGAACCCTATTGTGAACTACACATGAAAGGGATCCAGGCTGTGGGCTCCTTATGAGACTCTAATGCCTGATAATCTGTCACTGTCTCCCATCACCCCCAGATGGGACCATCTAGTTGCTGTAAAACAACGTCAGGGCTCCCACTGATTCTACATTATGGTGAGTTGTATAATTATTTCATTATGTACTACAATGTAATAATAGTAGAAATAAAGTGCCCAATAAATGTAATATCCTTGCATCATCCCGAAACTGTCCCCTAGCCCCCACCAACCCCCTGGTCCATGGAAAAATTGTCTTCCATGAAACCTGTCCCTGGTGCCAAACAGGTTGGGAACCACTGACTAAAACCACCACAGAAAGACTTGGCATCATCGTTCAGAAACCAGGAGAAACCTAGGCTGCCAGAAAGGGAGGAAGGAACTCCACCAAAGAGAATGCTAGAGAAGGGGAGCTCATAAATATGTACATAAACTCAGAATGAGAGTGTGGCTGACCCTTGAACCAGCTATGCAAATTGAAAGCAACTCACAACTAAAGCTTAAGCATCTGACTGAAGTTTGAGCCACACCCCACTACAGGTATAGCATTTGGCAGTTCAGTCGAAGCAGGGGAATTGCTTGCTGAAACAAAACAGTAACCATCTCAGAGAAATGTAACAGAATCCAGAGGCTACACATGACAATTACAATGTCCAATATAAAATCCAAAATTCCTCAAGATAAAAAATACTATGAAAATGGAGCCCAATCTAAAAGGAAAAGAAAATCAGCAAATGTTCAACCTGATATGATTCAGATTCTGAATTATCAGAATGGGATTTAAAAACAGCTATTATGCCTATGCTTGATGAAGTGAATGAAAATTTCATTACTCCTTTAATTTAAAAAAAAGTATTTTTGACAGAAAAACAAAAAAAAAAATTTTAAGAAATCCAAATATAAATAGTTCTACCATAAAGGCACATGCACACGTATGTACATCACAACACTATTCACAATACCAAAGACATGGAACCAACCTAAGAAAATGTCGTACATATACACCATATGGTACGTATGGATACTATGTGGCTGTGAAAAAAGAACAAGATCATATATAACATGGATGGAACTGGAGTCCATTACCCTTAACAAACTAATGCAGGAACAGAAAACCATATACC